CGTGAGCCCACCGGTAACCACACGATGATGACAAGGGAGTAGTTCCTTGAGCATGATGGATGGCCTATGGACATGCCCATTTTTGGTGGGGAGGAGGATGCAGAGGATGATGACCCTGTTGGTGATGATGTAGAGGCTGATGATGGTGAGGATGTCGGCAATGATGAGGATGGCTACGACATGTCTGAGGAGGAGGAGTGATTTCTTGTTATGTTTTGTTGTTTCCTTTGTTGCTACTACAAAGTGAAGTTTTTCTTGTATTTCCATTTATTTTTTTTATTATGTACTTTGGTTATTGTATTTCATATTTGTACTTGTACCTTTTAAGGTACCCTGTGACATTGTTGGTGTTATACACCATTTTAGTTATTCAGCATTATTATTAGTATTTTGAGCTATTTATTTATTTATTGTTTAAGTTTTCATTTTAGTAACTTTTATTTTAAGTTTTATTCAAGGGTGGTTGTAAATATGTTAACACCCTGCTGTCGATGCTAAAGTGTTCTTTTGTAGATATGCAAGAATTTCTTTCAAGTGGGATGGCGATGATATTATCGTTCTCATAAATTTGTTTACAAGGTACTTAGTTACCTTGTTCTAGAATTTAGAATATTTTAGAACTTGTTTTTCTATGTACAAATCTTGTAACTTTGCTTCTTTTGCAACTTTGTTGATTGATATGTCATTTAGGTCCTATATCACAAATGTAAGAATCCTCCTTTTACTTGTACATATGCTATGGATGGATGATGAATTTTGTGTATACTTATAATTCATGTTCTATCTTTTGTTCTTTATAATTTTGTGGAAGTTTTAGAGAGGATCAAGGCACTTGTTTGTATTGAGCACAACCATTTCCATACACGTCCCGTGAGGAGTGTGACTTTTGTTAGCCCCTTTTGAGCCTTCTTGTTTAAAGCTCATTTTGTGAGTTTCGAATGTTTGTTTTCTTCTTGAACCTTGAGTTTTGCTTAAATTGCTTTTCTTGCCGTAAAAGCTTGGAACATTCACTTTGGGTTGAGTTGGAATTTAGTTGGGGAGAACAGAAAAAGTCGAGAAAAGAATGAGAATCTTTCAAGCAAGTTTGTGAAAAAAGAGAAAATTGTGAAAATCTTTCAAGCAAGTTTGTGTATAAGAGGTGTGACCAAATGTTTGATGAAAAGAGAAAATAAAAAAAAGTATGCTTGCTTGAAGGAAAGAAAAAGAAAATAATTGTGTAAGGGAACTTGTGAGGGTTTGCATTTGAAATAATTTGGTGAATGAAGTGGTGATGTTGAAAATACTTGTATAGTGAGTGTTCTCGAGCATCGGCGATTTCATTTCAATGGCCTTATAAATGACCCTTTGTTGTAACCCGACCAAGCTACAACCCTTTAAGTCCTATGTGATCTTTAAATTTCATAATTTTGTTGTGAGCATTTAGATATTGTATGAATTGTGTAGTATTGCATTGTTTGTCATTTGAGTGAATTTTTGTCCCGCGCTTGCATGCACATTTTACTTCAATCCTTTTTCGAAGTGGAGTGTTAGAATGACATGTCATGAGATTTAGTTGTGTCTTGAAGCATTGTTTTAATTTGTTTTTAGAATCAAGTTCTTGTACATTGTCTATTGTGGGATTGTGTAACTTTTTGCCTTGTTGCACTTGTTTTGTATTTGAGCCGGATATTTTCACTTGGATTGAATTGGTTCATGAGCAAATCCTCATTTTTGTTTTGAGAGGCATACTTTGCTTGAGGACATGCAAATAAGTTAGTTGGGGAGAGTTGTTAGATCCCAATTATAGTATATATTTGATCTCTTATTAGTAGTATTTTTACTTGTTTTTATCTAATAGTGTATGAATTAGTAGTTGGATTTGCTTAGTTTCATTTTATTTTGGTCCAAGTGAATGGTGCTTATAATGTTGCTGTTAGTGTGCAGGATTGACACTAGTAGGAGCACCTTGGAAGAGATGAGAAATAGCTGGTAGAAGGAGTTGGAAATCAGAGCATTCGCCAGAAGAAGCTCAGCGAGTGCCAGCGAATGTTCGCCTGGCGAGTGCTGGCGAGCCACATCGAGTAATTCAAATTAAACTCCCAGACCAAAAGTGCATGAAATTCGCCTGGCAAGTGAAGCCAGCAAAGCTTCGCTACCATTCGCCAGGCGAAGGTGCTGGCGAAGATCTCTTGGCTATTCTCTTGGCTATTCCAGTAGCAAAGCTGCATAAAATTCGCCTGGCGAGTGAAGCCAGTGAATGTTCGCCTGGCGAAGGCACGATATCTCAGAGGGAGGTTTGCTTGCTGAAAGCACTTTGAAGTGCCTTGTTTCTTTTTGTTCGCCTGGCGAACGTCTCTGTTCGCCTGGAGAATGGGCACAAACAGAACTTCTTTTGTACTTTATATATTGCTTTATAGGGATTATAACTTACACTCTCTCTTGGTATCATCTTGTAACATAAGAACCTAGTTCTACAACTCCAAAAATCAATAGTTTTTCTTCCTTTTGCTCATTGTGTAATCAAGAGAAGTGGAATCACATCCTTTTTCGACTCTTCGACGGGGATGTTCTTTCATCTTCTCTATTTTCTTCTTGTTTAAGCTACCATGGAAATGAGTAGCTAAGTTCTTCATTTTGTCAAGGTTAGATGTAGGTGATCATTAGCTTTGTATGTATATGGAATGATCTTCATTTGTAAACTCTTTGATGATGAATATATGGTGAAAACCTTGCTTTATTTATAACTCTTTGTGTTGATTTATGATTGAAATATATTTTCCAACTCTTGACCTAGGTTTTCACCCATCTATTTTCTTAAGCTAGAAATAGTTTTGAATGTGGTTGTTCATGAAAATGTTAAACCTAAATGTTGTCATTTTGATATATTGTGTTAGAAATCAACAATGGATCAAAATGGGAAAAATCACAATGTGAGTTAGAAATAATCACATTGGGAGGATGTTGTGAATGTGTTTATCATCTAAAGGAGTTTATGTGTTTGTTGATCAAACATATACATGCAAAGTGATTGCCGAACCCTAACTTTGACAATCTTTCTTAAATCGTAAAACTAATCTTTTACCGCAATTTATTACTTTGTATGCATGATACCGTGACTAAAAACCAAACCCCTTTTGTTACTATAAAGTTAAGAACTTGACAACTGTCGAACGACAGTAATATCTCATATTCCCTGTGGAGACGATAACGAAAACTCGACACTCTATCACTGTTCTAACATGCGTCTTTGATGGGGCAAACCTGACAAAAAACATAAATCAAATCCTTCTCTTCACTGTACATGACAGTATCTTCAGAGAAGTGTCTGAACTCCAGCTTCCATTCCCAATTTCCATCGTTCCACCTGCCAAAATCTGCAACAGAACCTTTGGGGTTGGAACAAAAGCAGAAAAGGTTTGGAAATAACACCTTAAAAGGCTGAGAGTTTGACCAGTTTGAATGCCAAAAAGCCAGATTAGTACCACTTCCAAGAGTACATGACAGATTTTCAACAAACAAATCTAAGGACATAACAACATCGAAACTTAAATTCAGAATATCTCTCCACCATATAGAATCCATATTCTTTCCTTTCTCCCATTCATGCCTAGTTATTTGCAAACCTAAATCGTCTGATGCGTATCTGTGAATCAATAAATCCCTTCATAACGCCTTTTCCTCCGCCACGCACCTCCATTTCCATTTTATCAATAGAGACCTATTAAACGCTATTAAATCTTTAACACCAAGACCGCCTTTCTCTTTTGTCACACAAACTATCTTCTAGTCTATCCAGTGAATTTTCTTATTAGTAGCATTGCCTCCCCACAAGAATTCACTTTGGATCCTTCCTAACTCTTTTATCACCACTCCTGGAGCATTATAAAATGACAACGAGTATATAGGAACAAAATTAATGACTGAGTTTAAAAGAACAACTCTACCTCCCACCGACAGATGTTTACCTTTCCAACCCGCAAGTCTCCATTTAACTTGGTCAATCAATTCCACCCACATAGAATACTTTCTCGGGTTGTCTCCTATCTTAACCCCTAAAAACTTCATAGGTAGTTTCAAAATTTCACAATGAAGGAAAACCGACATAGCCTCCAAGAAATCAGATCCAGCATTGATACCTCCAATCCTACTTTTGGGAAAACTAATATTAAGACCTGAAACCATTTCAAAGCCTCTAAGGACTGCTTTTATACTCCCTAAATTATCCTAACTCGCCTCTCCAATAATAAGGGTTTCGTCTGCGAATTGGACTATGTTGAAAGAGACTGAATTGTTGACCTTAAAACCCAAGAATAACCCTTTACTAATAGCCTTCGACATAATCTTTATTAGCCCTTTCATGACCATAATAAACAAGAACGAAGACAAAGGATCCCCCTGCCTAAGCCCTTTGCCAAGAGAAAAATCACTTGTCACACTTCCGTTTACCAGAACAGACATAGACCCATTGAAGACTAGTTTCTCCATCCAAGCCTTCCATCTTCTACCAAAGTTCATATACTCAAACAAGAATCTTAGGTAATTCCTAGATACACAGTCGTATGCTCTTTAGAAGTCAATTTTCATAAACATACACTTCTGTTTCAATCTTTAAGCCAAATCCAACACTTTGTTCGCTACTATAACTCCATCCAGAATAAATCTACCTGGAATAAAAGCCGATTGTTCAACTGACACAATATTTCCCACAACTCTCTTTAAACAACATGCCAGAATTTTAGCTAGGATTTTCTGAAAGCAGTTCACAAGGAAGATAGGTCTATAGTGAGCTAAGCTTTGAGGGTTCTTTTTTTTTTCCTGCAAACAACATAATAAACGAAGTAGAAGCAACTTTAGTTAGAGAGGGATAAAAGAAGAACTCTTTTAAAAATTGGAGAACATCAGCTTTAATTGTTTCCCAACAAGATTTGAAGAAACTAAAGCTAAATCCGCCAGACCCCGGACTCTTACACCCTTACACTCCCAAACCGTAGCTCTAACTTCCTCCTCGAAGGCGTCTCTATTCAAAAGGTTTTGTCTTCCTTCGATAGTTTCTTCATTCCCACATCATCTAAGGCAGGTTTATCAAACAATGACTCTTCAAAATTCTCGACAAAAAAATCTTTGACTGCAGATTTAACCTCGACCACTTCTTCTACTTTGTCTCTACTAGTATTGACAAAAGAGATATTATTGCTTCTCCATCTTCCCTGAACCAACTTGTGGAAAAACTCTGTGTTTCTATCTCCTTCTTTTAACCAAGAAGCCTCAGCCTTCTGTCTAAGCATTGCCTCTTTAAGATTAAGCTGCTTCTATAGTTTTGTAGTTGCTTGCTTCCTACTCGTCACCATATCTTCAAAGTTGATGTAGACTAAAATACTGAATTTAGAGTCCAAGTCATTTAGGTCACTAACCGCCTCCTCCACCCTCAGGTCAATAATGCCAAAAACTTCACGCTTCCACATTTTGAGCTTGGATTTGAGCAAGTTCAGTTTTGTCTTAAGGACATAATCTCCTCTGTTCTTAACCTTAAAAGAGACCCAAGCTTCTTTCACAAAGTTCAAGAATTCAGGATTACTCAACCATCCATTGTTGAATCTAAAAGGTTTGGGACCCCAATCCGTATCATTTGCTTTGATAGAAACAAGGCAATGATCAGAAACGTCTCTATTTCCTATAATCTGGCCCAACAATTTCTAGTCATCAATCAAACTTTGAGATATCAAAAATCTGTCCAGCCTGCTCATAGATGTGCCCGAACTATTATTAATAGTCTGAGTTGCACCTAAGAGGGGGTGAATTAGGTTCTTTGAAATTTTCTGGTTTTATTGGATGAAGTTATTACTTTCTGTGAAATATGATGGGGTTATGAAAGCAGTAAAATGCAGCAATTAAAGAACACAGAGAAGTATCTAGGTTCCCTTCACACTTCGAAGGTACTCTAGTCCCCTTTCACACCGAAAGAGATTTCACTATAGTTAGACTGAGTGTACAACTTACTTTCTAACCTATAGGTAGATTAAAGGCTCTTAACACCTTTAAAATCTGAACATTAAGTGCAAGAAGAACAATCCTCTTCAATGCACACACTTGCTTTCAACAATCCTGAATAGCAAGGGGAATTAATACAATTTGATTTACAATGAGTTTGAAACTGTGTATACAAAGTATATCAATGCTGTGATTGATCTTCTCTTTCAATGATAATTTCCACAAACATTTAAGACTTTGTTGCTCAAGAATTTTCTTTCAAAAGATATGAAAATATGCAAAAAAATTCTTTATGAAAAGTGATTTGATTCAAGATGTGGAAAGATGAAAATATTGGTAAAGATTTTGAAAGAGGATGTTTTTGAAAATTGAAAGATTAGGTATTTATATTACACAAGCACCCCTTTGAAATATCATGCAAATCTTCAGAAAATATGATGAACAATTGCCATGATTCAATGGAAACAATTAATAGAAGAATGATTGAAGAGGTGCAATTTTTCAGAACAATTTTTCAAAAACGTTCAGTGAGGAATCGATTGCACATAAGGACCAATCGATTGCACCTTTAAAAAAAAGCACTTGAAATTCAAAGTTTGAACAAATCAATCGATTGCACCAAAGCAGCAATCGATTGCACACTAAAACAGTAGCAAAAATAAGAAGATTTTTCAAGCATGCAATCGATTGCACCAAGGAAGCAATCGATTGCACACAAAAACAGTAGCCAAAATGAAGTAAAATTTTGATCATGCAATCGATTGCTTCAAGAGTGCAATCGATTGCACTGGCAAAAACTTAGAAAAATCTTGTTTCAAAAAGCTTGCGAGAGTGTACAAAAGTAATGCACATGATTTTTATTGTTTGAGCAACTAGGACTTAAATACTTGATGAAGATTTTCATTATTCCTTCCAGTGAGATTGTTCTTCATATCAAGCCTTTATCCTGATGTCTCGAAGATATCTGAACATCTTTGCCTTCTTGTCAAGTGGTTTATCTTCATCAAAACATAAGTTGATCTTGAGAATCTTGATTTCACATTCTCCCCCTTTTTGATGATGACAAAACATTCTCTTTTGTTGCAATGTTCTTTCCGACAAGTTTCTCCTCCTGGGATATAGATCTCCCCCTCAATTTGTGAAGTGTTGAGAGAATCTGATTTTTTTTGGAGTAGCCTTGCATTTTGTTGCGGTTAGAATAGGATATCAAATTATTAATTAATTTGAATTGCATATTTAGTTCACAACCGGTCTTTGATTTATCCGAAGGAAAGGTCAAAGGAAGGAAAAACCTAATTTTGCATCGCAAACGCAATACGGGGAGAGATCTAGGTAAGGGGTTGGTTATGCTTAGGGAAGGTATTAACACCCTAAACTTCTGTAGTACTCTACAGGAACCTTTTGTTTAAAGTTTACTATTTTGCTTTAATTATTTGCTTAAGGGTATATGCTAAGGGTTAGAAGTGACAGAGAGACCTAAGGGTTAGTTCTAAGTTTACTCGTCAAGACTCGCATCTTGTGGCTACGTATCCGAGGTAGGGGATAAAATCAGAGTAATCGTAGTTCCCCTCTAAAGGGAGGTTAGAAACTTCTTGACTGTGGTCAAGGTTTCAATGGGAAATAAGCGTTCTTAAGGAAGCGCTTGCGTGGAGTTCGGTGACTCCTATTTATATGTTGTTGTTGCACCCTAAATTTGTCCTACCTTTACATAGTTTCTAGTGCCACTTTATTTTGAATGAATAAAATGGTACAATTGGCAAGAGACCGTGTGTAAGGAGTTGTGAGTGTGAGAGGTTGAGAGTTCGAATCCCACCTTCTTCATTTTTTGTTTTGTTTCTTTTATTTTTATTCTAACCTTTCTATTTTCATAAAAAAATAACAAAATAGTTTTTTTTATTATTTAATTATTATTTTTGTATTTTATTTAAGTTATTTTTTAAAAAATATTATTTTTTCACATTTTTTTTTCATATTATTCATAAAAACATCCAAAAATCATAAAATTAAAAATATTAGAAAAGATTTTATTCTTTTTATAATATTTTTAATGTTTAGTAAATAAATAGGGTTTTAAGTTTGTTTTAATTTGTTTAAATTTTAGTTAGTTTTGACTAATTCTTTAAGTTGGGCTTTAAAGTGGGCATTAGGGTAGAGTTAACCCTAATTTGTTACCTATATAAACATGAGTTGCATTTGAGAAAAAAGGGAGAAGGAGACAAAATAAAAAACGGCGGCCGTTCTCACAACTTATTAGAAGAAAGGAGGAACCCACGAACCCAGAAGGAGAAGAAAGGGACGGTTCTTCGAAGAAGAAGACGAAGCTTCCTTCGTTAATCATCATCATCGCGACTCAAAGAAACTTAAGCTCTCATCATTGTCCTCCTTCCGGAACTGCTTCAAATCCCATCTCAAGAATCCGTCGCCGTTACCGTAAGCTTTTCCTAACTTTTTAGATTTAGTTAATATTAAAATGAATTTTCTTAATTAAAACTCCTCTTGAACAAAATTCTTTTTTAGAGGTTAGTGCATTATTTTTAATTAAACAATTTTTAAAAAAAGAAATACAACAAAAGAAACATAAAGCTAATATTAAGACCTTTTATTGAACATTAAAGCTTTTTTTTGAACAAGATTTAAAACTCTTTTATTAAAGTTAAAACCTCTTTTAAAGTTTTTTTTCTTCCAAATTTAAAATCTTTTCTTAAAACTAAAACTTTTTTTCCAAATTTAAACCACTTTTTTAAAATTTAAATCTAAGTTTGTAAATTAAAACCATTATTTAGTTAAAGTTACTACAAACCTTTTTAAAAATCTATATATATATCTATATAAAACTTATATTAAAAACAATTTTTTATAACTTATAATTAGTTTATTTTTTTAATAACTTGAAATTATATTTTTTCTGATGACTAATAATTAAAAACATTTTAATAGCTTATAGTTAGTATTTCCTTTTTTTTATAATTTATAATTAGTAACAGTTTTTTATGATTTATAGTTAATTTAGTTTTTAATAAATTGTAATTAAAAAAAACATTTGGATTTCTAATTTATGACGTTCCTAACATTTTTTTTCTCAGTTGTATAGTTTATTGATCCTTTATTTTTTGCACTCCAATTTATAGTTGTAATTTACGCGAGGCAATCGTCGCTCTTATTTCATTATTATTCTTGCATGTTTCATGGATGAAATTTACGCGGAGCCATGGTCGCGGTTTATTTTATTTTGCATTTTTTGGGGATTTGTAATTTACGCGAGTGATCGTCGCGACACTTTCTTTACCGTTTTGTTTACTTTCCGCACTTTAATCTTTCCGTATAATAATTTACCGTATTTTGCGTTTAGCCGTTAGAATCCCTCCGAAGGAATTAGGTCTAGCCGTTTGACCGCCGAGTCAATAACCCTAATTTTTGACCGTTTCAAAAACCCTAATAGCCTAGGTGTCCCGCCGTGGACGAAAATGCCATTTACCTTAGCATTAGGTCAAAGAGGCGCCATACTCTGTTTAGGGTTTCCCGCCGTGGAATCCCTAATTTCAACCCTAAATTTTCAATTAACAAATTCAACATAGAAATAGGAGTTTCAAAGACTCCACGTAAGTGTGTCCTTAAGATACGTTTATTCCCCATTGAAACCTTGACCATAGTCAAGACGTTTCTAACCTCCCTTTCGAGGGGAACTACGATTACTCTTATTCCATCCCCCATCTAGGATACGTAGGCACAAGATGCGACGTCTTGCCGAGTAAACTTAAGACTAACCCTTAGGTCTTTAGGTCATTTTATTCCTTAGCTCAATATATATTCAAGTATATAATAAAATAAAAAAGACATACAATAAACAAAAGGTTCATGTAGAGTACTACAGAAGTTTAGGGTGCTAGTACCTTCCTTAAGCTTAACCAATCCCTTACCTAGGTCTCTCCCCGCATTGTGTTTACGATGCAAAAAAATAGGTTTTCCCTCTTTTGACCTTTTCCTTCGGATAAATCAAACAACGGTTGTGAATCAAGAATTGTGATTCAAACTAATTAATAGTTTAATAAAGAGAATTGAATTGAAAAAGGGTGAAATTAGGTATTCCACGGCGGGAAACCTAAAACAGAGTGCGGCGACTCCTTAACCTAATGCTACGGTGGAGTGTGATTTAGTCCACGGCGGGACGCCTAGGTAATTAGGGTTGTGAAATGGTCAAAAGAGAGGACTATTGACTCGGCGGTCAAACGGCTATAACTAATCCTTCAGAAGGACTTTACGGTAAATAATGCAAAATAATTAAACGACAGTATGAAAT